TTACTAAAGTTGAATAGAAGTACATGGATTAAAAAAAGAAATCAATTTTGGCAAAATTTTCATTATCAGGAATTTGGCGCGAAAAGGAACTGCGTTTGGCGCGGACATCCAATTGGACCAATTACATTTTGAATCTCCTCCAATTCATAACCCTAACCGCCACTTTCCTAATTCCTCGAACTTAATCAATGGCCGGAGCAGAGGAGGAGATCGTAGAGCTGATCAAACCAGAGTTCCCGATTGAACGGATCAAGAGGATCATGAAACTCGATAACTATATCAACAAGGCCACTTCAGAGGCATTATTCTTGCTTTCTTGTTCCACTGAGCTTTTTCTCCGATTCCTCGCTGAGAGATCCGCAGAAATCGCTTTGGAAAAGAAGCGGAAGACGGTGAAGCTCGATCACATAAATAAGAATCGCCGTCAGAAGACACCTACCAACCGGCGATTTACTTCTGGATTCGCTTCTCGCGCCGGCCGAGTCAACTCAGTCCGTAGATCTACCGCGTTCTCGAGCCACTGAAAATAAACCTGCACCGCCTGAAACTCGCCGCATAGATCAGTTCTTTCGGAAGCCGGATAATGAAGCTCCAATTGAGATAAACGACTCTTAGCGCTTACTAATTGAAAATTTTTACTGACTGTTGGTCTGAGTATTTTCATTACTGGGTCCATGTGCATTTGCATCACGGATATATTTAGATAAAAATTAATGAATGAAAATGCACAAGGGGGAAGAGAAAAAAAGAAAAAAGAATGAAAAATTAGTATTAATTTTATTTGAATAGATTAAAAAAAGAAAGAGAAAGAAAAAGATTATATTTTTATTTAATTAAATGAATTAAAAAAATAATTATAAAATTAATTAAAATGTTATAGATTTATATATTAAAATCAAAGTTAAAATAAAAGTTTTAATTTTATTTAAAAAAAAAGGTAAATAAAAAAATAATAGTAAGTGGAAGGGAATCCTCTTAAATTTGAGAGATTAAAAATAAAAAATTTGAAAAGAGTCTCTTCCCCTTTTTGAATGATTTTATCCAAATAAGAGAGAGAAAAAACTTCTTCACTTTCTTCCATTTCTCCTTCAACTTCGTTAATCCAAAAGAGAAGTTAAATGTCTACAATTGGCTAATTATTTATATCAAAAGTCTTGAACTCTTTTTCTATAACACAGAATAGAGTGATTTTAGCTTCTTGACGCTCGAGAGTAAAGACTTATACTATGTTTGAATAAAAACTAGTAAAGGAAAAGGAGGGGAAGTAAAGAGAGGGAAAGGGAAGGAGAGTAAAGGATTAATATTGATTTTGTTTAGATAGATTAAAAAAGAAGAAGGAAAGAAGGGAGAGATTATATTTTTTTTTATTTAATTAAGGTGAGTCGTGTTATTTTGTTACCGTCAATACTAAAATGGAGCAATTACATACATAGCATTCAATTTTTAAGGTCATTTGTGTCACTAAAAATAACAAAATCGTGTCACTGTGTGATCAAGTGAGGAGCATTATGCTGTGTTAATGAAGGCTAAGCTATTTGGGCATAAAAGTATGAACATCACATGCTAACATCCACTTATCCATCTTCTCCATTATTGTCTCGTTTCCTGCTAGATGCTTCTTTCCTTTGCTCTTGAAATCTATTGATCCAGCCTTAGAATAGATCAGTATGGTCGATCTCCCCTTTTTAGTTTGGTGACCAATACAGGAGAATATTACGGAGTAGAAGAAGGAAATCAACTAAGAAAGCAATCTCTGCACTATAATTGCAAAGCTGTAACAATATAAAAATTTTCCTTGTACAGTAATGTCCATTTAGGTTCAATTACTGCTATCAATTTGTATATATGAGTAGCATCCACAGTAATGAAATCTCAATGCAATTAGCATACATTGTTGTTCCATACTCTGTTTTTTCATGATATCAAAGCAAGGGAATCTGAATTGATGGCAAGGTTTTGCTGCAACAACTAGCTTGAACAACAAGTTTTTGCTACCTTTAGGAATCAACAATGTTAGACAATGATCAAGCTAAGAAAGGATCTCGGAGAACAAGGGGAAACAAGGCTATCCTCGAAACAATAGATCTAGACTCATCTTATTATCTTCATCTCAATGATGATCCTAGCAGGGTTCTGGTTATATCTCCATTAACAGGAGAAAACCTTCACACAAGGAGAAAAGTGATGTAGAATGTTCTAAATTCAAAGAACAAAATGGGGTTCGTTGATGGTACTCTTAAGAAGCCAAGTTTAGATTGTCTAGAGTACCATGTTAGAATTTTCCTAAATATGGACTGCCATTGATTTGGCAATTTTAAACTAGTTTTATAAAGAACGGATTAAAGTGTATGGTGTAGAGAAATTGGACTGATGAACCCATCATTATATGATCCATAAAAGTAATGGATCTAGTTCATCTCCATGATATATTCTATTAAGGAATGTGACGTTAATTTGATAGGTGCAGGGCCTCTTTATTATTGGGCACCTTAATGGGAGGGCTCGTGTTAAGTTTATTCTATTTTAGGCCTAGTCCCTTCTCACATCTGAAGCCCTAGTATACTCTTATAAATAGGGTTGTAATCTACTCCATTGAGGATTATAGATTATTCTTGATAGTGAGAGGAAGAGCCATGATTCAGTTATTTTCTATTTCTTTCCTTCTGCTCCTGTGGTGTGGCTTCTACTTGTTTACTTTCCGATTTTTAGAACTATTATGGATAATCAAGGTACGCTTTCTTGCTTTACAAATTAATGATGTTTAGTGTTCTACTATTAGTGCATAGATCTTGTTCAATAATTTCCAATAATGGTATCAGAGCAAGTCTTGTGCTACTTTTAGAACCCTAGAATCCTAACTAATTCTTTCTACTAATAATCGTTTCTAGGTCAAGAATTGTTTTTGTTCAATTAGTTGGTTTTGTTTTGACATTCATTGGCTTCAACTGGAAAATCAAGAATCCATAATCAAAAAGGATTCATAATGATAATGTCTATGTCTTTTGGGTTTTAATCAATTTATCCAACCTATGGATCAACCTTCGCTCACCTAAATCAATTGCTTGTGTATCTTTCAAATAGAATTAATCATCAAGAATGAAGCCAATAATGGGTATTATTTTGATAAGCATCAGAAAGAGAAAACAATTTATCCCTATTTCTTATAGTTCATCAAATAAATTAATTAAAATAATTATAATAACAATAATAATAAAATAGAGAATGCATAATAAAATTGTGTGAGCAATAGTTCCGGTGAGGAATTCATGATTTTAATGAATGGTACTACCAAAATAGACTATTTATTAAGGTTGTGTTCTTCTTATAAAGGATTTTGGAATGTTTTTTCTGCTTTTGAAATTAATTTACACAATACTTTTGTCAAAGGTGATTGTTATATCTATTAATTTTAGAAAGTAGTGGAAGCTATTAACGAGGGTTTATTTTATTGGAACTATAAGAAACTTTCGACCCAAAGGTAATAGTTTACTGAAAGTTCTTTCTAATTATTAGCTTGTTTAGGAAAATTTACTTTGTATGTCACATATTCAACCCAAAAGTGTTTATGTGTTTTGTGCATTGCGAATTTTTCTTGAAGAGATCATCTTTGTCAAGCTAATGCTTGTGGTAGATTGCCCATGTTTATAATTAATGTAACTTAATTATTCTTTAACTCTAGCTTTTACCTCCATAACTATGAACAATCAAGTGAACACCATTGAAACTTTGACTGGAAACAATTTTAAGATGTGGAAAAGAGATAAAGATAGCCCTGGGTTTGGCAGAGATTGACTTTGCTTTGATAGAAGATGAGCCTCCTAAACCTACAGAAGACAATAGTCCTGATGAGTGAACCAAATATGAAAGATGGGGATAAAGCAAACAGATTAAGTTTGAAGATTATGCAAAAGTCAATTAGTGATGGTTTTGAAGGTGGTATTTCTGGAGCTACTACTGCTAAACAATTTCTTAAGGTCGTGGGCTAGAGGCACCAAAAAATTTGAAAAGGCTGAAGCTGGAGAATTAATGGATCAACTTAATAGTTCCAAATATGATGGTGTGAGTGGTGTTAGAGCTTATATTCCGAAAATGCAAGACATATCTAACAAACTCACAAATCTTAAGGACCCATTGATGAAAACTTCCTTGTTTATCAAGTACTCAATTCCCTTCCTTCTTCTTTTAATCAATTGAAAACCACTTATAATGCCTTACTTGAAAAATGGGATATCTATATATGAGCTTATCTTTGTATGTGTCCAAGAGGAGGGGAGAATTAGAGGTCAAAATGAAAGAGTGAGTATGGTGTCCAAGTCACATGGTAATAGATTCTATACAAATAAGAATAAGGGGTTCAGGCATAATAACTACAAGAAGGGGTCAAACTACCACAACAATTCTAATTCCCCACATAATCTTGGTGGTCCCAAACCTATCATTCAAAAGAAGACTTGCTAGTGGTGTAACGTGAGTGGTCATAAGAAGACAAAGTGTATTAAGTTCAAAAATTGGTTAGAAAAGAGAAAAAAAAATAAAACAAAAGGTACTGTTATCCCAAAAAATCTCCTTGACACGTGGCAGATGAAATGGCGTGCCACTTGCTTTGCTCAAAACAAGAAAGATTTCTCCGATGACCTTCTCTTCTTTCCAAGCGTGGAACTCAGTTTGTGAGTTGATGGAAGAATGTCGTAAACTGCACCGTAAAGATCAGACGATTGGCAGAAACGAGGGATGAACTTCCTGCACTAAATGGGTTATATGGCAAAATGCCCTAGATATGATTCCAAGGACTCCTCAAAGCTAATGTAATTAAGAAAAGTTAAGACTGGAAGGAAAATAAATGATCGCTAAACTACTGAAAATTTAAATGAACTTTAAATATGCAAATTGGGTTGAAACAGAGCTTTAAAAGGAAATTTAATTGCAGCAAAAGTAAATTAAGTTAAAGTAAATAAAACTGGAAACAAGGAAAATCTACTGGCAGCATGAAATATAAATTAACAAAAATGAAATTGAACATGAAATTAAATGTCGACATCATTTGATTTAATTAAATGAACTTGGAAAATGGAAAAGGAAAAGAAGCAATCCAATCACAAAGAAATACTACTGAAGGCAATGAAACTCACCATTACAAATCTGATAAAAGGAGAACTGAATTGCTAAACTAATCTAAGTTGAAGCGTAGAGCTGAAATTAAATTAAAGGGCTTGAAACTAAGATGAATCTGAGCATAAAGAGAAATTGTGCTGAGTTTGCTGTGTGAGATGTCCATTCTTTGCTTGATCTTATCATTAGGTATTTATAGCATCTTGGCAACATGGTGGAGATCTGCGACAGCATCCTGAAAAACCAACGGCAGCATAATATTTGCAACAAATTGATTAATTTGTTGGTGCTGCGATTATCCTCCTGGAAGCTCATAACAAGAGAACGGTTTTGCTGCCGTTGTGGAAATAACCACTCAATCTTATCTGAAGAAATTCACACCAACTTTCAACTAATAAAATATCTGCCATCATGGGTGACACGTGGTAGCACTCCATTTGTTGTAAAATTAGGTGTAAACAGGTACTTCAATAACTTTCGTTTGCTTTGAATC